CACCTGCTCGCCATAGGAGCCGTGACTGTGACCGCTGGCATAGCCATGTTCATAACTGTGTCCGCCTGCAACGCCGCCGCCATGGCCGTATCCGTGTCCATCTTCCAGAATGACCTTGATAAGCTGCGCTGAGCCGCCGCCGCCGCCGCCGCCGCCACCATGTCCATAAGCATGTCCATGGCTATAAGATCCACCGCCGCCGCCGCCGCCGCCTCCTCCATGTGCATAGGCATGTCCATTTCCGTGAGCACCTCCGCCTCCGCCAATACTAGTTGGTGTCGCTATCACATTATAGGTGGTGCCGCCAGCACTGCCGCCGCCTCCAGCTCCTCCTCCTCCTCCTCCACCCAGAAGCGACAGAAAGGTGGCATTACAGACGCCCAACGTGGCCAGTAGACAACAAACGTAGATCTGATTCGAGGTGCAGAGAAGTGCATCAGTCTTGCATTCGCGTTGCTTATCCAAAGGAGCAGCTGGTAACTCACCTTCATTTCGGCTTTCTCTTAATCTCTCTCCCTCTCTCTCTCTCTCTCTTTAGTTAGTTTATGCTCGAGCACCTGTGCGCGTCGAGCTGTTCCCGGTCAGCGAATGATGCCACTTTCCCGTTGCCGATGAGCTTTTATACAGAGACGCACGGGCTTCACGGCTGCGCTGCTGCGCGGCTCGGCAGCTCGACAGCTCCACAATTCCCGTTAAAGGGCCGTCGGGCGTCCGGAATCGGTTGCAACAACGCGCTGCTCGCTGCCAGCTCGTGACATACTATGTAAGCTGGAGCTGAGGCCGAAGATGAAGAGCGATGAAGGCGATGCGCATGCGAAGGGGAATGCGTATGGTAATTGGAAGAGACGCGTAATGCGGCGCTGGTCCAAGCCGAAGTCAAATCATTTTGCTTTCGTGGGCTAGCTTTCTGCTCATCCCAACTCTCGTAATTCACTTAAGATATTTGAAAAGCTTCAACATGCACAAAGAAAACAGATATCTAGTCGAATATGCCCGACTAATAGATGCCCTGCAGCCAGCTCCGAGTAGCGCTCAATCTCTACGCCCAGCCCCACACAATGGAAATGGAAATGAAAATGGTATCCAAGTTTCAGTCAAATTCGCGAACACTCCAAAATAAGGCTATGCCCTTTCTTTTCTTTTCGTTTCGCAGCTAAAGACTTGACATTTTATACTCAGTTTGGCTTTAAAGAATTCTTTACTTTCAAGTTTCTCTCTTTTCTGATTTTTGTGACTCTATTACAGGGTATACAACAACAAAAAAGCGAACAATATTTGATTTTTGACCTTCCCCCTCCTACAACTTTCATCATACAGGGTGCCTATTTGAGTATGTACTCTGAGCCATAGCACACACAGTATTAGCCAAGTGTATAATTGCCTTGTATACTTGTATAGGGTATTACAATGTTATCATGAAATATGTAACGCGTAGAAGGAGACTTCTCCGTCCTCATGAAGAATATATATATACTTACAAATATATTTTTGATTAGTTCCAACAGTCCAGTCGACATAGGCATCATCAGACAGGTATTTGATTCTTTTAGTCTTTCTGTTGCAGACAGGAAGTAAATACATATATGGAATTCAGCCGAACTGAGCCACTATATCATTATTATATTTCACCATAACACCACATCAAAAATTGACTCGGACGTACCAGAACATAGAAAGCATCGTTTAGTTACTTCAGCTATCTGGTGCGAGTCCCTGACTAGATTATATAGTTGGTGTAGGGCACCTTTGTTTCCAGTGTAATACTTGAACAAAATGCTCAAACAGGCTTTTGAATACAATTAAGCGACAATTGTGAGAGTTTTACGGCAATCAAAAATCATTTGAAAATTATTTGATAATTTTGTTTGATCATTATAATACGTAATAGGCATAGACACCCTGTATTTGTTTTTTTAATGTTGTTGTTTGTTTGTTTATTTGAATTCACAAAATATGCACCAATAACACGAACATTAGCGCATCTTCCAGCCAAACGGCCCATATTCCCCTCCCCACGCCTCAACTCAGCACCTGCCCAAATTCCACGTGTATTCAAAATTGACCGGCTTTTTGCATATGATTATCGATCTAAGCGATGCTCTTGGCCTGCCCCGGGGCTGGCGCTGGGAATTGTTGCTTCGGTTGTTGTTGCTGTTGTTGCAACAGAAAACAACTCGGACGCTTGTCGATTGAGCCAATCTTTGTTTGAGTCCAAGCCATGGACGCAGTCGCTGTCGCTGCCGCTGCCGCCGTCGCCGTCGCAGCTGGCGTCACAGTTCGCTTATATCATGCAAGAGATTTCAAATTTGTTTAGTTTTGTGTGCATTTTTATATAAATTATTTAATGCGCATCGTTGCGCATTTTCAAATCCAACCTACAACCTACAGCCGCCCCCTTGCCCCGTTCATCGTTCCGTTCGTTCAGTTCCCTTAGACTTCAGTTTTAGTCAAATTAAAAGCGATTGGCATTTTATCACTTGGCTTTGTGCACAGTGTCAAAGCATCCACCGAGCTATTCATGGAAGCACAGCTGATTATGCATGTGGATGTCCATGCTGATGAAGTTGAGTGCCAAGTGCCGAGTGTGCAAATAGTTTTGTCGCTTCCATTATATGCTTCATCAATGACCAGCATTCCATTCGGCCGCTCTCATTGGCCACTTTCCCGCTGTGGCCGGCTGGATGCGTGGGCAAAAAGCCAAATTGTTGACTCATTGCGACTTAATTGATTCATCACTTTATTTAACGTGCGATTAGTTATGCAATTACAATTATTGTTTTTGATATTGCTATTCATATTATTATAGTTTTGAATATTATTTAAGCTATTATTATGATTATTTCACAGGTACGTTGACATTTTAAATATTCATCCTTAAAATTTTTAGAAAGTTCTGCCTGATCCGAGGTACATATGTATATATGAATCATTGATCACAATCTTCTTTCTTCCGCATCATGAACATTTTCCATTTAACTTACATTTGGGATTCTTTTTTCTTTTTTTTTTTTACGCCAACCCATCTTCAATCTTCCGTAATTGATGATAAATATTCCTTTTCCCCCTCAAGGAAGTCTAAGAAACGGAATTTAGCCTCATTTGGCTTGCGAATTCGCAACTTATGGAGTCGGATTGCGTCTGTAGGTGATTGTTATATCCAAGAAGGCCTGACTTAGGCCCTTATAGTGATTGCATAATTGGGATTTGGTGTCAACCGTTTCTCAGGGCACTGCGTCTCTTTCCTGAAGGATTGGCGTTTGAGCACTAGGCCTAAGCTGATCCAGAGATGTTTGCTCTGGTTGCCTGACTGTCCTCTTAATATTCCACAGTCGACAGTATGATGTGGGGAATCCATATATTTATATATAAGGTCGATCGCTCGCAAATCTGCGCTAACGTTATGGAAGAGTCGTGTTCTCGCTTAAAAACAGGTCTTAAAAATCCCTCCCTTGTTCCAAAATTTAGTTCGCTTCGAAGATTATTATACACTCTGGTTGGGTCAGGTCAAGAACTGAAAGCAGCTCAGCAGCAAGAGAATTAAGCAACGTCTGAATGCCCATCTACTTCGAGTATTACAACTCTGAAATGGGTCATCCACAGTGTAGAATTTAAAGCGTTGCGTTGAGCCCAAGTTATTAATGAATACTTAAACAATTTGTTATGGGAATTAGCTTATAAAATGCACATACATATGTATGTATACCGGCTCCCCTCTGTGCATTGCGCCGCACTGCTCCAACGAGCCCGCTTTGATACGCCCATTCCTAAATATGGGGAGTTGGTTCGCGCGCCAGATTTCCGCATTTCGACAGTTTTCGTGTTTAACATACTCGTATATCATCGCCACACGCATAATTAAGTAGATATCCAAAAATGGTTATATCACAATGTTGTATACGTTAAATAGACTTAAAATATACACATTTTTGTCGATTTACTAAGTTTCATTCATAATGTTGGCCAATCATTCAGCAATGTGAGGCTTTGCGATGCGCCGCTCTCAGGCATTTCAGATTTACACGATATTTGAAGTATTGCATCCAAAATATTAAGTAAGCAGCTTTATTAATAACAGATGATTAAATCTTAAGCCCGCTTTCGCATGCTCCTGTTGACAACCATGACAACAAGACATGTTGTCCAAAGTATATACCATGTATATTTGTCTTCTCTTCTATTGCCTTGGTTGTTTTGTCAACTCTGCTGCATTACGTGCACAACACAGCTTTTAATTGAAATGTGCCCTTTAATGCATTTACTATCAGGTTTCAAATCCTCGATGTATGGCTAACAAGAGGGTATTTGCTAGCATATCACATCAGTTGGGAAACTGTCAAATTGATATTAATTTTGGTCGTCTTTTGATCATCTCCACGTGTGGCTGAGGCAGCAATTAAGCCGGTTTCAGGTGTGATTACAAAATGATTAACTCATTGAGAGCTTGACCATTGGCGCTTCGCCAGGTTAGTTATATGTGAATCAGCAAGGCGAGCCCTAGCCGAGAAAACGATATTTTTAGATATTTATTGTTTAGATGCATCTACAGATAGCTTCTGCTTTGTATATAGTGGCTCCCCGATAAAGGATTCCAGATCCAGACCAATTATAATAAATAACATTAACATTGATTTCAAATGCAAAAATAATTTGCATACATATATTTATACATATATATCTGTTTTTTATTTTTATTTTTTATTTTTTGAAAATATTTCGCATTTATTAATCATTTAAAATTGGCTTAGCATTATTTCGTAATCGTCTAAATTTGTAGATTAAAAAAAAAATACACACACATTTTCCTTATTTTCATTCATACATTGTATAAGAATAATAATAATAATAATTATAATAATAATAATAGTAATTCAATAACATGCAAAAATATGCTCCAAATGTTGTCAGCGCCTACAAAAGGGTTCGATATGACTTAACCAAGTTCTTTACAATTAATTCCTCGATCCGTATACCTCGCATAAAAAATAATGTACACCTGGTTGTGTTGTTTATAATCGCTTCCATTTTTGTATTCGTTCCCGTTGCTAACCCACAGCCCGCTTGGTACTTAATAATATTCTATGCCATACATAATTCGAATACCGTGCCCAAATCCATCGTGTTCGATGAACAAAATGTATGTTTTTTGTTTTGTATGCAAAAGCAGTTAAGGTACACACACACTCACACACTCACACACTCACACACACACACACACATACACACACGCAGAGGTTACTAATAACAATAATGCTTATAACTAGGGACTGCACTGCTAAAAATATTAGTACGTAGATCTAGATCGAACTGTAGTTACATATTGTATATTCAAGTAGTTAGGAACACAGAAGTGTATCTTTGTGTATGACTGTCTATGTGTGCGTGTGCGTGCGTGTGTGTGTGTGTGTGTGTGTGTGTGTGTGTGTGTGTGTTTGGACATAACATGATTACCATCTAACAATATACCTATGCGTATATATATATATATATATCATAATTAACTAGAAATTACAGCTTGTTTCGAAAGTACCGCAAGTACCCTAATTGGTAAGTTGAATTGGCCTGGTTTGGTTAAAGATTAGTTTTAATTTTAATTGAAGTTTTTTCTCTACTTTAAGACACAGCACAACATTTAACAATTATATAAGTACACTTTCAGTTTCTCAATGGTTCTGTTTAGTTGTTATCCTAAGATAAACACTCACGCACACCCATTTACATACAGACTTAAATGAATCACTCGTCGAAAGTAAGAACGAATGGAAGTGTGCCAGAAGGTGTGAAGAGAGAGAGAGAGAGAGAGAGAGGGATAGAGAGAGCTATTTCTAGGGTCCTACATGCACGTTATTCATTCATTCATTCATTCTTCTAAATGCAGGCTAACATGAAAGATATTTGTTCTATAAAGTGGGATAGAAATCCCCCAGATCAGAACTGCATGCTAATGGAAATGGATGCAATACCTAAATACATACTTGATTCATATTTTTGGTATATTTGAGACTGCAGCTAAACTTTAAAAACTAGCCAACTAATTCAATAAACTAAAATAATAATAAATAAAAAGAAAATGTGCTTATTTTAAGCATTTAATGCTCTTTGGAACTGAGCTAAAGTTGAGTACTCATAAAACATACAAAATACTTTCAATGAATTTGAGAATACAGATTCTTTAAAAGCTATTACAAAAAAAAAAAAAAAAAAAGTGGGTAAGGAAAAACTTATATAATAAATCACAATGCTATATACTAAATACTCAAGCAATGCGCATAATATATCATTTAAGAGAAATCACCTAGATAGCGCTTAGCTTGACTGATCGGAGATATGAGGTATTGGAACTATTTTGGGTAAGTTTTTGTTGGTTTAAATAAATAAAGTGCTAACAAAGACAAGTAAATCTAATTAAAAACAAGTATGTAGCAAGTACAAAACGGACAGACAGACAGATAGACAGTGAGACAGACATATATACACACACGCACACTCATTTGTAAACTATATAGTTGCTAAAGCTTATAGATTTGTTGATTTTGTTTGTTTAGTTTTTGTTTTCTGTTTGCCTCCGTTTAAAATCGTTGAAGTCGCGATTATTTTTGGTGTTTTTTTTTGTTGTTTTTGTTGTTAATGTTGTTCTGATACTAGAGATTAATTGTATCCAGATCCTGACAGGGCGCACGCGGGCTGAGCTCGTCCGTGCTGGCGCTGCCATGATTCATATCACTGCTGCTTTGCCCATCGCGCCTAATATCCGCCATTGATGAATGTATTTGATTGTTGTGATTGTTTCGCAGATTGGTGTTGTTATTGTTTTTGCTGCTGATGTTGTTGTGGTTGTGGCCAGTTGAGGGCGTCTGCTTGTGTGGTATGCCATCGCCCAGGTTATTGTGCAGCGCCTGCGTCTTCTTGGTGCCCAAGCCCAGCGGAAAGGCAAAGTCCTGTGGCATCTTGTGCATAATCTTGCCCGACGTGATCAGCCGGCCAAAGCCCTCCTGTGTAATAAATATGCGACATGAGCGTGAGGCACATAAAATTGTTAAGGCTCCAGCTGCACTCACCTGATGGGCAAAGGCGTAGCCTGAACGCACAGAGCGGCGTCCACGGCGCGAGGACGGTGTACGTCGCACATCGCTCGAGACGCGCGAGTGATCTTTCTTAAGCGACCTTTGACGAATCTATGAAGACATTGCAAATAAACAGTTTAGAGCAGAATCCGATAAGAAACGCATTGCAGCAGTTGGTCACCTTGTCGGACAAGCTGGGATGCACATCCAGCAGATAGAACTTATAGGCCAGCACTGGTGCCATCAGCGTGACGACAGTTATTAGCATGGTCACCCAAAAGGTTAAATCCTTCATGGCCTGGGTCAGGGAGCCCACATAGGGTCCGCCAATTACATAGTTGTAGAAATAGTCCAGCACAAAGTACCAAATGAGGCTGCCCCAGATGGTTATGTGATTGACTATGGTCCAGTAGGAGGTGTAGAGTGCAATCTGCAAGTTAACGTCAAATTCAAACAAATTCATCAATTCCGCACTCTCGTCCTGGCTACTCACCTGGGCTGTGTTGTCCACGATCAGTATGGTGGCCACGACAGCGCCCAGAGTCATGTGATCGCTCAATATATAGCCATTGTGCGAGACGCCATCCTTGTAGACGCCATACGGTATTAGGAACAGGATGAGCGAGGTGAAGGCGCCATGCAGAACGCTGTAGATGAACTCGCGTATGTTGAAGAGTTCACTCTTTAGACCCGGCGCATAAAGACGCGGATACTCCAAGCTATGCTTGTCCGAAACGTCCTGCTCAAAGACGCCCAGTGCCAGCACCGGCAGTGATGTGTAGAATAGATTGTATACCGATATGAACATGGGATCGAACACGGTCTAGAGATGCGAAATAAGGATTAGTCGATAAATGTATGCTACCGCTGCAGAGGGAAGGAGAAGGAGAAGGCGTCTTCGGCATTCGACGTGCAGCTCTAGCTTTTGTCTCTCTAAGCAAGGACCCAAATGCATTTTAACTTTTATCAATACCACCGGATTAAGCTTGAGCTCAGGGGAAATCGAAAGGTGGATCAGTTTACAAAGTGAGTCACGGATTAACTGCCCTCGGCAACCGCGTTAGACTATCTAGACTATCTAGAATCTTCTCAACTTTCGTTAGCTGGCAACAGAGTCGGTTATATTCGACGGCCAGGTGCTTACTCGATTCAAACTGTTCTTACCTGTGCACTGAAGCCACAGAAGAGGGAATACCAGCAGTGGCACAGCGTAAATGCAAAGTTCTTGTAAAAAAAGTAGCGCAGAAACTTGCACATGCGATAATAGGACCAGCGTCCGTGCACCAGCAACAGACGCTCCAGATAGCAGAACTGGGCAATCGCATAGTCGCTGGATAGCACCGCTTGGAGGCCCTCCTGGCCCGAGATGCCAACGCCAATGTGCGCAGCTGTTGGGCAAATTGACAAGGATGAAACAATTGTGATCTTTCGTTTGAAGTGTGTAGGACTCACCCTTGATCATGGAAACATCGTTGGCGCCATCCCCAATGGCCAGTGTGACGGCATTTTTGGCACGCTTGATTAGTTCGACGACCAGCGCCTTTTGCAGTGGCGTCACACGGCAACATATCACCGCCTTGCACTGTGAGGCAATGTCCAAGAATCTAGAGAAGGCAACGAGAGGATGTGAGAATGACTAATTAAAAAGGCAAGGTTCTTGATAGTGCAATATGAGCTTTTTAATAGACCTCGTCTGACTCTTGAGAACGCTTGGGAAATCGCAAAATCGCTCGGGATAGAATTGAATACCGATTGGTATTCAATATGGATTTAAAAAATAACAGGGCGCGCTCGAGCAAATTAGCAAGAATGTTCAGGACTTCGGAGAATGCCTGCCCAAGTAAAGGGCTCCTCCATCTCAGCTCAGGACTCTTCAACTCGGAAGAAGCACAGGAAAAAATAGAGTAGGCATTGCCGGAAGTGGAACCTGCTGAATTCTAAGAGAAGAGGTCGGCCTGTGTGCAAGCATATACCTCTAACAGAAGTTATAGAAACTGATACAAAAGGAAATTATTTAAAAAAAAAAAAGTAGAGTAGAGCTAACAATAAAATTGTTTCTTAAAGCTCAGTTGCTTCAACTTAAAAATATCAGGTGCCATTTACTCACTTGGTCTCCAGCTCCGGTGACAGACAATGAACCAGTGAGTGGCCATTGACAACCAAGGCAAAGCCTGTTGACTCATCCACCACAACGGAGGGAGCAGTACGTCTTCCGTCCTCGCTTTTCTCGGCATCGCCAAAGAGATCTGTGCACTCGGCACTGTATCGGCATGTGGTTTGTGAGAGAGACGGTATGCATTATTGAAATGTTTCCAATCGATTATAGGTTAGTAAATTGTGTGTGTGTGTGTGTGTGTGTGTGTGTGTGTGTGTATGAGAAACACAAAATGACATCAAATGACATTTTTAATTGATGGCTATGAGATAAAACAGTCAACAGTGAGAGCGAAAAGCAGTTACAGAAAGAGAGTTAGACAAAAAAGCGACATATATTCTTGGGTTATGTTAGCCAGGGAGAAAGAGAGAGAGGGAAAGAGGATACAGCTCTCCCGTACGATCTTCAGAGTGAGAGAGAGAGAGAGTATGTGGGAGGACCCTTAACACAAGCATTACTCAGAATGAACATGAATATATAGGGGGGTGTACGGTACTAGGATGAACTACGGGTGTACGATGTCTTACATAGATATTGCTACGAATGAAATAAAATTAAATTAAACAAGCTATGAAGAGGCCACAACAACAACAACAACAACAATAGCAAGAAGAACTAAGGATTTTTACATGAGAAATGTATGTTTTTCTTTGGCTTAAGCGTTGAATTTGTTTTGTACTCGAGTTTAGGTTTTGATCGTATCGTATTTTCTTGTACAGAAATTATAATGACTGTGATGACAAAACTGACGAAACTTAAACAATGCACATTAATTGATTATATCCATGACGATAACGAAAAACAAATTGTATTAAGTTTTAGTTTTTAAAATTGTGTGTTTTTTTTTTTTTTTTTTTTATTACTTGACGGGCGGAACAAGTACCAATAGAGGGTAACATCCTTGGGATTACTAAAAGATTCATTAAGTTATAATTGTTTTGATCTAAAATTGTTTTGTTTCTTTTTTTTTTGGTTGTTTCCTACGATCAACTAATAAAGCAGTATGCCACTTCTAAACACACATATAGAAATTATAACTGAATAAGAGAAAAATATAAATTTAGCTAATACTATATATAATGCTTTGAGGAGTGAGTCAATTGATCTGCTAAGAGAAGAGATCTAATAGAGATCATGGAAGTTGGTAAGTTGGTAAGTCAAAAAACAGAAAAGACAAAAAAATAATTGTAGATTACAAACAAATATGGTTAACAAACCGAAAAGAGAGAAAGAGATAAATATAGAGAGATACACAGATTGATAGAGTTAGCAGAAAATACAGGGTGACTTTCTAGCTGCGCTTTGGTGTCGTATCTGTTTTAGCTTCACTGCGTCTAGAATCTTAATTATTTCGTTTAATTCTATTTTTTTTTTTTTTTTGCTTGGGTAGATTTTGGAAATTCTCTTTTGGAGTGCCCTCTACCTGTCCGGTCCGCCCTTATTATCCTTAATTTTCGCATCCCACCTAAAGGTAACCACTGATATGGCTGGCGGCGGCTGTGGTATGGTCGAACCGTTTGGATCCTGCATAAATGCGGATGTCTGCGTCATTGCAACGCCCATGGGATCCATACTGCTGTCACTGTTATAATGATTAAGCGCCTCGGAGCCTGCAAGAGGGCCAATTTTAATTCGTTGCTCGATTCGATTTAATGTAATAGAAAGTATTTACCGCCCGGCCGAAAGCGATCGAATATCTTGATGGACTCCTTGAACTGACGCAACTGCTTCTCCACCTCCTCCACAGAGCTGCCATCCACAATGAAGACATCCACGAGCTCATCTGTCAGCAGCTGGCACGAGTAGCCAATGTTGATGGCCGTTTCTAGTAAAAACAAATCGAAATATTGTATGCATTGGATGCAATGATAAGATGCCACTAGATGATTACCTTGCTTGTCGCCTGTAAGAACCCAGATCTTGATGCCCGCGCTCTGCAGATTCGCTATCGACTTGGGCACCCCGTCCTGCAGCTTATCCTCGATGGCTGTCACGCCCAGCAGCTGCATATCACTCTCAACCTCCTCGTACATTGCGTTCAGCTTCTGTTCGCGCGAATCCATGGACAGAGCCGCCTCCTGCTGTCGCAATCGCCAGTCGCTGTAGTACTGTTCCGTCAGGCGACGCTCCGCTAGCACCAGAGTACGCAAACCCTCGCCGGCGAATTTCTATAATGTTGAAAATATCTTATTATGTCTGTTTGAATGTGTCTGTCCCTAACAGGTTGTGAATTCTAAATTGGAAAAGTATTTGCGCACGGCAAATTTATATATGTCACATTGTATGCTAGCATTTTTCGCGATTTGGTAAAGCGTTCCGTCATACTTCCGTCTTCCACGCAATTTCAACAACATCAACATCAAAGCTGTCATGTCCACTGATATGATACTCCGCTTCCTCACAACGTGAGGTCCTTAAACATTATACCACCCACTAAGCTCGAATAGAACCCCATTATAGCATTTGCTGCTACTCTGCTTAAAATGTCTCGAATTAACAAACATATTTTCTTATTTGAATAAGGAATAAATGTTCTACTCTATTTCAACCTCGTAATTCTCATATACTTTCCATGCCTTTTTTTAAATTAAATATTTAGCAAACGAAGTTGAACCAGCGACTATTTGTTTGCTTCGCTCAGACACCTAAGCTTTATAGGATTTCAGATTTTACATCTTGGGTTGTGCTTTGGTCAAACAAACAAGCAAATTATTAATAAAATACATTTTAGTAACCGGACTATTATATATTTATATATATATAATTTTTTGATGATTATTTTCATTATGGAGGATGAGTATAAATGATTTTAAAAGAGCTAAGAAATAATTGTAAAATATGTTATGTGGCACTTACATTCAGGTGATCCTGTGTACGTGCCTTTAGATCCTCCTGTCCGCCGTGCAAACGATCGTATATTACGTTATCTGCCCCCTTGCAGTAGAGAACCACGGAATTGCCGCGCCGCAGGATGACGGACATGCGTTTGCGCACATTGTTAAAGTCGAGTATGTGCAGCAGCTCGTATTCCTGAAAACAATCAAAAGACTTGGATAATATCTATACTAAGTATTTGAGGTGATAATTGTCCAAGGCTCACCTCCAGGCGACCCATCACTTCGATGGTAATACTGTTTGGTGTGCGTGTGCGGAACACAAAGCCAAAGTTGCGAGCCGCTGAGACGAGCGCAGCTTCGTCTGGACTCTGCGCCTGGTACTCGAGCCGCCCATCTACGGTCTCCGCCATGACCGTATGGCAGAGGGCGAGCAGTCGGAAAAAGTTATGTGCGTGCGGCTCATCCGAGCGAACCGCATCCAATAATGTGCGATCGTACCAGCGAAAGTCGCTCTCGTGGTGCGGATTGGCCGAGAAGTCTACCGGTTCGAGTGCCTGAAAGAGTTCATCAAACGGGCTTATTAGATTGGATTCGAGATTGCATGGGCTTGGGTTATATTTTAGTTAAATCATTTTGAATTTTGTACTTTAAGCTGTTAATATTTGTATATGTATGCTAGTTTAAAGCAGAGGCAGGCGCCAAATTTGGATACGATAAGAGTTTACGGTATGTTATCATAATGTGTGGTTAGTAAATACAGGGGGTAAATACGATATTTCTTTAATTATGATGTACTCAACTCGCAATACGATATTGGTTTATGTACGCTATAGGAAAGCTATGGCATATCTGACAACTATTCAGAAAGTACACTATTAGAACTATTAGCATCACACACTAAACTCGCGGCTTTAAATATATACGATAATAGCACTTATAATATATAATTTACGATATGCGTTATCGTTATACGAGACACGGCTATATGGTATTTTAATTACGATGTAAAATGCCCTAAACGAAATTTAAAATACGACATGCGACAAGCACAATTGGCAATACGATATTATAATACGATATTCGAGCTATGGGTAGCGGGATCGTTAATGCTAATTACGAATCGATCAATCGGTAAACAGGTAAACAAAAAAATATATTAAACGAATTAGCCTGTTTTTATTTTACTTTACACATTAAACACTCCATCTAAAGCTTATGTGCATGTATTTGAATATATGTATATGCGTATGTATGTGGCATGTATTGGTATTAGGTTCTTTTTAAAATATGATTAAGCCGGCAAAGCATATAAATATACCAATTAATAGCTCAAAAAGCAATCAATAAACTTGGATCTAGCTGGCCAGAGTGCTTTAAATCACACACACACACACACACACACAGAGATACACTCGGCGAGGCTAATTGGGGACACATCGAAAGCGAACACATCAAAAATATTGTACTCTATACGATATTCGGGTTGCGAGAACATGAGGACAACATGCATACGTGCACTTTTTGGTGGGACGAACTCCAATTTGTGGCAAAGCGGTGTGTGCTTAAATAACGGTGGTGTGCGGTGGTGGTAGCGGTGTTGGTGCTGCTGCTTCTGTCTTTACTGCTGCTGCTGCTGCAGTGGTGTTGGTGGTGCTGTCGAAATGGAGCACAGCAACCGCTGTCGCGTGTGGTTGCGGGTGAACAAGTAGAGCAAGAAGTTGAAGAAGATGGCTTTGACTTGAATGTGACCAGCTTGCGGTTAGTTTGTTGCTGTTGTTCGTGATGTTGTTGTTGTTGTTGTTGTTGTTGTTGCTGGTGTTGTTCTGGTTGTTGGTGCTCGTGTTCTGTTTGATGGTCATGCAAGATTATTACTTTGTCGCTGCTGCCGCTGCTCGTCGACAGCCCGCCGGACAGCTGGCGGCGCATGCGCTGGCCGCTGCGCGTAAAACAAGCGCCCAAACCGCTGCTGCCACTGGCACTGGCACTGCCACTGGCAGAGCGCGTGCAGGTGCGCCCGCCAGGATCATCCACATCATCCTCGTTGCTGACACTTTTGCTAGGCGACAGGTAATGCACCTGCTTCCGGGCCAACGGATTTTCCACTGTGCTCACCGTTGGCGACAAGCGTTCGCTGGCAATGCGGCCGTGCAGCTGCTCCGGACTGTGGGCCAGTTGGGTGCCACCGTCGGTGGTTACCAGCACTGCGCTCTTCTTCTCATGCACCTCCGCCTTGTGCACCAGTATTGTGGGCGGGGCAGCTGCCGTCGATGAGCTGCCGCTGCGTTTGTTGCCGCCGCCGCCGCCGCCGCCGCCGCTGCTGCAGTTGCTGTTGCTGTTGCTGTTGCTGTTGCTAGTTTGGAAAAGTGTTTGCTGCTATAACGAGTAATGTGAGTTGTTTGCTGGGCGCACAATTAAACAAAGACATACAATATGTAGTATTATGGTATACGGCACTTGGGTTCTTCCCATTGCAATTTGTTGTCTGGTGCAGTTGCTGTTGCAGTTGCAGTTGCTGCTGCCATCGCCAATGCAGCAGTTTTTGGCAAGTGCTTTACTTAATTTTGTACGTTCTTAACAAAAATGGCTAAAATATGTTTGATTTCAAGTAATTGCTTACACTTCAAACAAATAAATAATAAATAATAAAATTAACATAAAATTAACTAATAAAATGTTTGTTTCTAAGCAACGAAATTGGCTTTGGGCTAAGCTAAGATGAGCAATTGGACAATTTAATCTTATCCCCTACAGGTTTTTTTCTTAAAATAAAAATATTAGCCTTAGTTGTACTTAAGAGAATTTTCCCAAAAAAACAAAGATGTTTATGTATATATCTACAAAACTGAAAAATCGTATCATTACTACCGAAACTATAAAAAACAGTGATCCAGTCCGGACAACTTGAGCTGCTTGAATGTGTTTTTAAAAAAGGACAATTTTAAGTTGAAATATCCGCACCCAATAATTTGAAATTCTTGTTGCAAAAACTTCATTCTAGAACCAAATGGGTTAGAATCTCAAGTCATTGTAATAACACATTTTTAATCTGATGGCAGATATAATAAGGGATAAGACTTTCTTGGGTTACGTTTAAATTAAAAAGAAACTACTTAGCATGGAGGATTCGGGGTCGTATCTAATCTATGAATCTAAAATTAGCTGGTCCGATGGTAGTCAGTTCTGTTTAAAATCAAGTTATTTTCATAATAATAATGATAATGATAATGATAATAATAATGATAATTATATTGATAATGATAATGATAATGATAATGATAATGAAAATGATGATGATGATGATGATAATAATAATAATAATAATAATAATAATAATAATAATAATAATAATAATAATGATACTGTGATAGATAATGATAATAATAATGATACTGGTAATCATAATGATAATGTATTACAATGGTACGGATAATTATGATTATATTGATAATTAAAGAGATCATGATAGCTATAATGATAATACAAATAATAATTATTATATATATTTTATTAAATTAATGATAATAATAGTATATGATAAAAGTGTTTATTATATAGAAAGCTGAAAGCCAAAAACTGTGCACTGACTTATGGCTTGGACGCTGGTACAAGTTTCTGTTGCATACCCAACAGGCGCACAGTGCACACACACAAAAAGAGGCACACACACAGCTAGAATGAACACCCAGTTAGAGTTAATTAGATCCCTCCCCCACCTTTACAGAATAACCGGATGCCTGCGAATGGGCGTTTAGCTAAAAGCACCGAAATATCCGGACACAGAACATACGCACATATAATGTATACCGTATTGTTAGAGTATAGGTTATAGAGACTTAGTATAGAGGGCAAATACTTACCTCAGTTATTTCGATGAGCTCGCCGGTGCGCAGGTCATAGACATCGCCATAAGTGCGACCATTAATGCTGCACTTGTTAAAGGTCATGATGTTCTGGGTGAGGGTGCCCGTCTTGTCCGAGAAGATATACTGTATCTGGCCCAGCTCCTCGTTGAGCGTGGTGGTGCGTGCTTTGGCATATGTTTGGGTGCGTGCATAATACATCTCCTCGTCCCAATTGATAAGAAACGACTGAGCAAAGCGTATGACCTGCAGCATAAACACACACATATATTAGACACACATATACAACAGATGCAACAGGTCTTTACAACTGACCTCTACTGAAACATAGAGGGAAATTGGCACAACAGTGTTTAAGACTATGGCGTACGAGAAGAATACGAGCAGGCCAATGACCGTTGCACCGGATGCGACCATCTCTTGCGGTATGATGTGCTCCCACGGCAAATACAGCTGAAAATGCTGGCCAATCAGACCCTCCCAGATGGCGCAGGCGAGCGCAAAGAATGCGCATATGGAGATCAGAAAGAGCACAATCTGTAAGGAAGACGCATGAGCGAATGTTTTGATTGAAACCAACTTAGACCCACCCCAATAATAATGAAGTTGAGCAAGCGATCCACGCCGGTGCTCTTGAACTGCGTTTTGCCCGAGTTCTGCATGAGCTTGGTGTCGACGCCGGCAAACACGACGACGCCGTAGCACCATTGTGTATTGCGCAGGACACAGCCACGGAGCAGGATCTTGTCATTGTCGAGTGCGAATCGCTGATTCCTCCATATGAGTGTGCCCTCGAATTTGTTCAACAGATTGTTGGGTCGCTCGCAAATGATCTCGCCATTAAAGCTCCACAGCAGATCGTGCTGCTCGCCCAGCTCTGTGGTCTCCATTAGACACTGTTTGGCCTTCAGATTCGTCTCCCCGTCCAGCTCCGCTGTCTCAATAAAGCACAAACCACTTGGTTCCGACGTGGTCAACAGCATTATATCGGCGGCCACAAACTGATTGTTATCCAAACGTATCACATCGCCCACCTGCACATCCGACCATTTCGCCTCCACCAGTTTCCCATTGCGCAGTGTCTTCGACTTGCGGTTGTTCACCTGCGAGTCGGACAGATGTCGTTGCTGTCATAAAAAAAACGGGCTATTCAGTTTCGTTTCACGTTGGAGCTAAAGCTTTTCGCTTACGATATCATCGTAGGCATCCTTGACGGCGGTCAGCGTCAGCACTCCAATCAAGGGTATCGCCGTCGTTACCGGGGTCAGCGAGGATATCGCCGGGATGAGCTGGAGCACCAGCAGGCACAGAAAATAGAAGTTCGCCAAACGCTGAAACTGCTCGAGCAGATTGAACGGCAGGAAAGTTAACAGCGTATACTTCGACGTCTTAATATAGTTGTTCTATATGGGCGAAGAGAAACGAAACCAAAATCTTTGTTAAAATATAAGTAATTATTATCTGACATGCGGGTAATTTCTGGCCTTGGCCGGAGACACTTCCCACCACTTTCCGCCCGCAGATAATTTAAATCTAACCGAACTGTGCACGCCTGAAGCTATATCCTAGATATTCTCCTTAGATATTTGCAAATAAGTTTTGAGTAACTCGAAAAGGCAACCAAAATGAATGCATCTCAATTGGATTTTTTGCAAAGTTCTTTGAACATGTTTTTGGTGCCAATCGAATCATACGTCCGTGTTTTGAAAGTATGCTTAAGGCAGTTCGGACAAAACCTAAAACATCGTTCGATTTTTTCACGCTTGCCGATGGAATTTCATAAAAGCCCGTCTTAGAGTTCACCTGCTTCATATCCTAGCTCTGGCTTGGTCTGATCACCGGTCAGTCTGTCAGGACAAAAAGTTTTAAATATAGAGATAGAGAACTTACTCCTCAGAGTTTTCACCCATGGCAATAAGCTTTTCCAAGAGCGTGCAACACGTCTTAAATGAATTTTCATAAGGATGTTTGGAAGAAGGCTAACAGTTTTAAACGAGTTTTCCCATAAAAGTCAGTCTGTAAATCTGTCGTAACAAAGAGCTTTATTTGAACAGATTTAATTGGCATATGCCATGTGTATTTAAGGAGACATCACCGAATGCAAGCCAAGTATGTCCCATTCGTAACATATGCCAATGTATGCCATTAATATAGGAAGTGGAATCTCCAACCCAATAGAGTATAAATATTCTTGATCAATATCAAGAGTCGAGTCTATCTAGACAGTTTTGGAGTCTAACTCGGAGAGCTTAAAACAGCTGGAAGCAACAAAATTGGTATGCGAGCTCTAAAGTGGATCAAACAGATTTCGATCATTTATAATTTTGAATATTTTTTGCGTAACGCTCAAAAAATAAATGAAAACGTGGAAATCTAGCTTTGGCAATAGTTACTGCATTGAGAGACAATCCGTCCAACTTACGTGATATTTAAACTGAGAATTGAATTCCTTGTCGTTGGCGCGAATCCTGCGTTCGTTATCTGTAATAGAAGAAGGCGCAAATTAGTTGGCTATAAAATACGAGTCCTGAATTAAGCCTAAGCCATTATAGATACTACAGGGAAATGTTCCGCCCAATTACCCGAGAAATAGTACGAGCTGCGTCGGCGTCGCAGTTGCGATAAGCGCCGCAAATTACGCGCCGATGCCGATGCCAGGAGCTGGGGCTGCTGCGAGTCCAGCTCGTCGGACACTGGACTATGACTGCAACGACGGCTGGGCAGGCTATCGGGCGCACTGCGCCGCCAGCTAGCGAAGCGCTGCAGCATGGACAAACGCGGCTTGGCCAGTGGCTGTTCCTTGTACTGCAGTTCCACATCGACGGCGGTTATAGGCGGTTCCGTTATGTCCGCATTGGCCAGGCTATAGAAGCTTTCGGCCAAATCGCTCGACGTGGTTGTTGTTGTCGTTGTCACCGTTGGTTTTAAGTTTGCGGTCAAGGGCGAGGTCATTGTCAGCATCGAATTGCCAATGTTCATGGTCTCCGGCTGGGCCAGCCGCACCTGCAGCTGTTGCTGCGACTGTTGCTGTTGCAGCTGCTCCTCTTGCTCCTGTTCCAGCGCCAGCTGCATCTGCTCCTCCTCGCATCGCTGTCGTCGACGGCGTCGCGATTTACTTGCAAAATGAAACCAACGGGTGCGACGCGTCACTGCTGCCGTCTGCTCCTGCACCTGACCCTGCTCCTCATCCCTTATATCGTATTTTGCGCCATCTTGGTCCCCGCTTAGTACATCCAGCTCCAGTGTATCCGGCCGCTGCCGCATACCTTTCCCAGTCTCACTGCATTTCCTAGCACCGGGCATGACTACGCCTCTAAATTAGTGCGTGCCTCTCCGTGCCTCGCTTTTACTGCCGCCCTGCTGCGATAAGCGGGCATTGCCCAACCGTCATCTTTCTGCTGGATATATTTATATATATCAAATGGCAAGGACCAGCCCAGTCGTCGTCGTCGTCGTTATCTTTACTCAATGAGCTGTTTAGTTTCAACGAGTATTCCTCACACAGACGAGAGAAAATCAGATTCTAGTTAAGAGCGCCCGACTAGGAGTTGTCCTGATCCCCACGTCGAGCTGCCTTCACAACCATTGCAACGTCCAAAAGCACACATTTCCTTGGACCCATTCTGCATCATTTCGATGGTAACTATCCGATCCCTATGAAATTTTCAGAACGGAAATGTTACCCAAATGTGGGGACATGCCAAACCAAAACAATGTTTCCGCTTTTTTACCCATTTACCCGATTATTCGTGAGAGTCTGGAGAACAAATACAGAAAACGAAAGCCGTGAATATCCGACTGGGAAACAAAGCTTCTCCCGAGGTGCAATTTCGCCCGAGTTAAGGCCATCAGCTGCGACAAAATCGCAGCCCAGGCCCAAATCCAGCGATCACGTCCGCAGCGTCTAACCCCCCCATTTGCTGGGGGTGACAAGGGATAAGACGCAAGTTGCCAAGTTGCCAGCCACATTCCCGGAACAAGTAGATATGAATGGAAAATAACAGCAGCTGCCTCGCAGCTATGAAAAGAGGAAAACCACCACCAGAGGAGACGAAGAGGCCTTCTCTCGAGGTCCTTCTGGACCTGTCGCATACACGGGAATATACTGACAATTTCTGTTCAATCGCATGACTAATGCTCTATACAGAGTATCCAAATGGACAGCGAGCGTGTTATTCCTCTTCACTGGGCAATACAAAAGACTTATTTTATTAATAACAACGTGCAGCTATCCTCCATGTCCTCCCTTGGCTACCCCTTCAGAGCATGAGGCATACAATCAATCAGTTGTGGTCCCCTTAAGTCCATCTTATGCCCATACTATCGACTCTCCTAAATAGAATCGCCTTGGGGCAAAAAACTTTTATAGGATTCTTATAGATGGACCTAATATTGTCCCGGAGATGGCTAAGCAGTTGGATATTCATCTTAAACGGGCTCAGGCCAGACCGAGCCAAGTCTGTGTGAGTCGAGGGTTAAACCAGCCAGTGGACACCGCACTAATGAAACCTATGTTAAGATAAGTAAATTAAGGAAATCCAGATTCAAACAAGAATTTCGAAAAGGAAAATATACTAAGATGAGTAAAGAGCTTTGTGCTGCCCAAATATTGACAGCGCTAAGAAAAGGTAAGCACGAAATTCCTTTGCCCTTTTTTGAATGCAGGCCATTATCATGCGCCGGGCCATACACCTACATATAATCGCAGGGCATTTGATGCCATCGCGTGCCAGAGACAACACACAACACCTTCTGGCCTAACAATATATTATATACCAATACCAACAATAGCAACAACAATGCAACACAACAGCTGTGCGGCGCCACAAATGGTTCTCATCAATTTGTTGGCCGGTTGGTCGCACGCGGCGTATGAGTAATATATAAATACACACATTTCGCCTTTGATTCGGATTTGGCTTTGCCAATTTGAGCAACTCGACAATTTCTCTGCCCGCCCATAAGTACTATGAGCACCGGCTAAAACAGGAATCCAATAGCATAGCATATAATCCAGTTTTAAAAATGTTCAATGAAAAACTGTTAATTATTATTTATATATTTTTGAAGAGATTTTTACATCCATGTCATAGATTCATCCGTCAAAATTAACAGTTGCACTTACATCTAGTCAAAATCAACAGAGAGCACCAAACAGTTCTCGCAACATTTAGCCATCTTTTAATTTATCCAACTGGTAAACTTAGCAGGCACTTCAGACTGTTAAGCAGATCTGTGGCAATGCCACCTGACCAGGAATGAAAAATGTGGCAGCTTGTTCAAAACATTCCAACAGCATGAGTTTTCAGATTAATCATGGGCTAAGCCCGCATAATGGGTGAACACTGTAGCTGCCCATTTGAATGCCTGCTTGTTGTTTAGTTGCGAGCACTATTATGACTGCTAACAAGAAGAAAGCGGAAATCTGTTCAAAATATTTAAAATTCTTGTTGTTACAACAATATTCGTGCTTGGCAAACAAAAGCAAAGCAAACGTAAAATTCAACTTTGGTTTAATTATTTGTTTAGTTTGCGAATAGACCATAATGTTCTCCGATTTCAATTGCCTTTAATTATTACAATGTGTTAATAAGGCTGCATTGATTTCGCAAATGAGAAGCAGCTGAACAGCGCAAATTGACCATACGCAAACTGAGAGGCAATACGAAATAATCCTGATATAGTCGAATATACTTAGTTCGTAAACTTTACAACATTATTACACCCTTTTGATGGCTTGTACCAGGTAAAAGTGTACAAAATTATCGCATGACATGGCAAAACTCTTTCCGCAAAACCAAAGCAGAATCTGCTCCGCTTGCTGGAGAAGGTGAGCAGGTGGGAGCTACTTCTGCAACTGGCAGCAACTGACAAACAATGTAACAGAGCAACAGGTAACGCAAGCAATGCAAAAATGCTTTAGCACCTGACTATTAATGTGTGTGTGTGCGCGTCCACTTGTGATTAAGTTAATGCGAATGCATTGAGGAGAACTGTAAATGCGCTTCAAATGTAAACAAGTGCTTCTCTTAAGAGAATAATAAACGTAGGCGCCAGGGTTGTTGGCTTTGGAGAGATAATAATTGTTAACAGCATCGTTGTTGCTTATGTTTTGAATTCTAACTGTTTGCTCTCTCACAAGTCTGACTTGGGCAGTAAAGAGAGCCGGGCATGCCGGCCCCAGGACACATACATATAGATACGTTGTCTCTCTCTCTTAACATTCATTTAATTGATAATAGCTTAACGTAGAGATGAGCATGGACCGTGTTTCTCGCCGTGGCACGACGCGACAAAGAGCGTTCGTCCGGCACGAAGAGCTCGATCTCAAAACGAGTAGATAGTAAGAGTGCTCGTGTCGGGAGTGGCCGAATAAGAGATATCTTGAGCGCTGCACTCCTCCCTTTGCTCAACACTATGGGATATACATAACCCAGTGGGAAAGGTATTTAAAAAGCAAATTATTTAAAATCGGTATATCCTGTCTCAAAGCCAAGTTCTACGAATATCAAAAAAAGGTTAAATGAACTAGAAAATGGTGAAAAAGCCAAATGATGTATAATAGTTAATTTTATCAGATCGGGCTGGGCTTAGCATTGCCCTCGCATATTATTCGCGTGAGTGTTTATGCGTATTCGAAAAAGTTACCGTACCGTAACAAGCTTGCCTACGCCCATCTCTAGTTTGAAGTCTGGTGCGTAAGAGCCGCATTGAGAGAGACGAGAGCGAAAAATGAACAGCCGGCAAGGCTGTCACGTCACATAACAATTCACCTACTATGTAGTATGTCTGGCCGCATCGCCCCTCTTTCCCTGTTCGCATGACATGAGTCACGCATGTGAATGGTGCTCCTTGCTGCTTTGCTTCGCTGCCTTGCTTACAGTTGGGTCAGGGGGTAAGCGTGGTTTTTGTTTTCTTTTACATTACACCTTTTACGTTGTCGCATGCGTCACCATGGCGAAGCATTAGTCGCTGTGAGGTGGCCAGAAAAAGCGTGAAAACATGTGAGAAAAAAAAACAAAAACTAGCCCAACGGGCCAATGCAAAAGCAGGTGTATCGATGAGGAGGACTCAATAACAATTATGCTGAGGCAGCTGTTAAATAAAATAAAATTAGCAAACGCTCAGCACAAAATTGCGGCGCGCGTTGAGTGAGCATCGATGGGTGGGTCAGTGACGAGCCGGGGCGGTTTGGGGAGGGCGGTTGGGTGTGCCAGGTGCCAAATGGCAGATGTCCGTGCATCATCCTCAGCAGCAAGAGCAAGAGCAAGAGCGACAACGACGGCGACGTAGGAATGGGTAGAATATAACAAGAGAAAACAACAAACATATTTGTTGTTGTTGTTTTAATTTCGATGTTTGCTATTTGCGTACATTTTTAGCACATTTCTTATTGCACTTGCACTTGCACTTGTTTTCGTTGTTGTTGTTGTTGTTGCTGCGTGTTTGACAAGACTTTTATTTATTTGTTGTTGTGCTGTTGCTGTTGTTATACGTTTTCTTTTTCTTTCCGTTCTTTGGCCTTTGGCTATCGGGTTTCATTCGCACTTATATCATAAATTGAACAGCGTTTGGTGCAATTAAAAACATTATTGGCAAATAACAGCAACAACAAGAATATCGAGAATCGCGAGAATTGAAACGCGAAAAACGCGTGAATCGAGCGCTGACCAAACAAACGGTAAACAGCAAACGGGCAACTGCCAAACAGCAAACTGCAAAAATGAAACGACGACGCGCCAGCGCCAGCGCCAGCGCCAGCAGCAGCAGCAGTAGCAGCAGCGGCGACGCAGCTGACGCAATGGCTACCAAGCAACCGAACTTACACACACCTACAGCCACAGCCACAGCCTAGCAACGTCGCCAGAGTCGCGAGAGCCAACACACAACGACGACGTCGACGTCGACGCTGACATCGACGCCATTGCCAGGACAACGGCGTCAACGGACGGTGAGAAAATAACTAACGAAAAACCAAAAACAAGACGTTGCCGAAGTTTAAGTGCCCTTACAGACGTGTAGAAGATGTTCGATGCATGCTCTTTAGCTTAGTTCTCGGACTCTTTAATTGTGTGGCCAATTAAATGGTAGCTACATATTTATATTTTTGGTTAAATTTAACGCACATACGAAACCCCCTCAAGGAATTTGATCCGAAAACTCTGAAAACAAAATGGGTTGGTTGACTCTTAAAACAAACATTCCTTTACATATTGATAAATATAACATTTATTCTTCTAGCAAACACACAATAATAATAATTACATATGTATATTCCATATTCTCTACATGCCTTTTTGACAAATTCATACAACCATCTATATATAAGGGCATAGTAAATGACGGCTAGAGAGAAAGGTTGCTCTTAAGCAACATCATCAGAGCGAAGACTAGGGCAAGGCGCAGCACTTATAGTAGGATAGTTACCTCAACTATGTGCTGAAGCTTGAGACTTCCAATGCTATATTAGAAATATAGAATATAGAAAGTTGGAATAATCTTTTCACTTTAAAGAACGAAATTAAAAAAAGGATTCAGTTTAACCCAATTTGGAATGCTTAAATATTATATTACTTTTTGAAGGCTTTCAGCTTCAATTAAGGAAAATATATTTTAAGTTTTTCATTTATAAATCAATCAAATCAATCTTATCAAAATCTGCGAATCTCATGTTTTTCTTATTATTGTCGCAAACAAAATAGATTTCTTTCTGAACTGAGTACAGCTAACATTTAACTATTTTAAAGTAAGAATATATCTTCTGTTTTTATTTAATTGGTAAGCTTCTTGCTTGTAAGCTTCTTTAAGCCGTATCCAGGCTTAACTATGAAATATTTTAAATGTTATTCCCTTGTGGATCTTATAGATATATATGTACTCCAAATATTAACTTCTTTAAAATTGATTGCAACTGAAAATGAGCTAAAAAGGGTAGGAAGTACATAAATTGGATGTGTTAACTTGAAAGTTTACTGCCACTGGCTCTTGGGAAGGGTATTCAAAATTTGTATTTGTTCTAATGATATTTGTCGAGCTTGTCAAGCGCAAAATGAGCAAAATGTTGAGCGAACGCCACGCTGTGAATTGGAGAGAGTAGGAAAGAGAAATAGGCAGTAAAAGTGAGACAGAGAGGCAGACAGAAAGAGAAAATTGCGGCAAGAGAGTGTGCACGTGAAAAGAAAACATTTAAAAGCGAAAGGTCAAAACAAAATTAAGTACGCGACTCTTAAGCAAATTGTGGAATGGTGAGGGGCGGGCTGAAATGCCCAGCCCACATTTCCTATGCATGTAACAAATGTGTCTGTTTGTATGCGTGTATGTAGCGAGTACATGCATGTACACACACACATACATACATATGTATGTATGTATGCATGCTTGCGATACAATTTCAAACGGGAATCGCCTTCTTTCTTATCCATTGTTTTTGTAATTATAGCTCCCCTGGGGGTAGCAACAAAATTTCGAATTCAAATAAATAAATAACTACACATTTTGGTCTGAATGCACACTTTCTCTGTTTATCCATCAATCATTTCAGCAATTTGCAAGCAAACACACACACACACACACACTCGTACACCAACAAACATTGTCTCTCTTTCAGTTTTGATTTGAATACAATCAACGTTTATTGAAGCGCAAATGAATGCGAATGCTTATGTTGAATCAATTTGCTGTGACTCGATTTAATTGAAATTTGTGGTATCGAACTGCATTCCACTTAAGCTGCTGCTGCTGCTGCTGCTTGTGGCAAGCGGAGAGGGCAGTGCGGGGCCAACAGGTGCGCATATTGCGTATACGCCGCGGTGGCCGCCAACAAAATTACCAGCCACATTAGGCCATAGATACGCATCTTTGCGGCTCGTAATGATGTAAAAGTCTTGTACATCAGCTGTGCAGCAATAAACTCAGGTAAATGACTAACAAATTGCGCACATGGCTTCCGCCAAAAATATCAATTATTGTAAGAGCTTTGCACGATAAAGTAAACTGACCGACTGGTAAATACCCTCAATGCTGCTCAGTAAGCAACTACCGATACGGTTAATTTAAATAAAAGCACTGCGGATTGCATTCTCAAATAACTTCGGTGTTTATGTCACTCAAATTGGTTCACATATCATAGTATAAGGCTTCTCTTTCTTCTAGTTCTCAAAATCTCCGTACCTTGTGTCAAGATCGATATTTATCGATGGCAGATATTGTCTGATATATATGTGCATATATTAAATAGTCCAAGTCTCTTACTTGAATTTATAGATATTTATGCCTTAACTTTTGTTATGCTAAATTATATACCCTTTTTCGACTAATTTAAACTGAGTCCAGGGTATACAACAAAACAATAACAACAGCAACTGCAAATCATGGCCCAATAAAGTACAATAAACGGAAATGATTCCATTAGATTGAAACACTCTGTTGTTGTTGCTGTTGTTGTTGTTGTTGTTGTTACTATTGCTAACATTCCATTGAGGCGCGCACATTTTCATTCATTCATTCAAAGAGACAACAAATGAAGCGCGTAATATATTATATATTGACAAATTGTGAAGCTACATTTATATGTTTTTATTTTTGTTTTGCGGTCTCTTCTGTTGAGAGTCAAGCTACCACACAAGTACCTGACATAAACGGACAGACACACCTGGGACAATTGAAGCTACCGGGCAAAAAATCATGTCAGGGTTAACTCAACGCTGAGGCTTAACTCAGGGCTCCCATACGCCAAGAACTGGGCCAATGCCAGGCAACAAACATAACTAATAATAATGGGCACCTGTACACAATTTTGTTGTTGTCCCAGTCCACGAATCAGGACACATCTAATAGCCATTGGCCACACTTTGGATATGTTGGCATAATTTAATCAAACTGTTCAAATCAGCTGAAAGCCAAAAGACGTCAGGAAAATATTCAGTTTTGACTTGACATTCAAATTGATTGGCTTTTTTTCTTTTTTTTTTTTTTTGCCAAAGGTCGCACCTTAACCAAATCAAAGATATTGATAAAAAAAATAACTTGTATGCACTTTAAAAATGTTGGTATCTTATGTGCTGGAGGTGCCCGCTTGGCAAGTTTGAAAAAATCGCGTATGAGGTTATTTTGTTAATCGTTCGATCAGCGTCAAAGTCATTTTCCAAGTTTTTTGTTCGAATTCATGTGAGGGGCGTTTCACACTTTTCGTAAAATCCATTGCTCCTTAATGGAATTAGGAGCCAAAGATTTGATGGATCGCACGTTTCGGGCCCCAATGCATTTCTAAGAATCTATATGAATATTCATTTGAAGCGTGTTTCTAACTTTTTGCAATATCCGAGCTTCATCGGTAGCAATAAAATTTTAAGGGCTGTTCCACACTTTTCGTAAAATCCATTCCTCTTATTGGAAATGGGTATGAACGATTTGGTGGGTCAAGTTTCGGGCACAAATTCATTTCCAAAGATCTTTATTACAATTCATTTGCGATGTGTTTCACACTTTTCGCAGAATCCAAGCTAACTTTGTGTTTAATGCGACAAATTCGATAAATTTTACTCGCACGGGTGGAATAAGCGTGAATAACGTTTATATGAAACTCTTTTGTTTACCATTCGATTGACCTTAAACACATTTTCAAAGATCTTTGTTCAAACTCATTTGAGACGTATTTTACTTCTTTTTATACCCTGAACCCATTAAAAATGGGTATAAGGGTATATTGTATTTGTGCAAAATCCAAATGTATGTAACAGGCAGAAGGAAGCAACTCCGACCCCATAAAGTATATATATTCTTGATCAGCATCAATAGCCGAGTCGATCTAGCCTTGTCCGTCTGTCTATCCATCCGTCCGTCCGTCCGACTGTATGTATGAACGCAAGGATCTCAGAACATATAAGAGCTATCGACTTGAAATTTTAGATGTAGGTGCTCATAGTGTCTGCGCAGATCGAGTTTGTTTCCGAATATCGATCAAAATCGATATCGACATCCTGTTTTTTGGGCAATTATGATAAATAATAAGAGCTAGAGTCTCGAAACATGATATGTTGCTTCTAAAATATTATATATTTGTCAAGTATCTTTCATATTATACCTCTCGCCACCTCTCCGCTATCACCCCAGAGCTAAAAATCAAGTTAATAACCCAACTTTTATTGCCAACCAATTGAAGCCAAAATTTAAATGCAATTGACTTTTTCAGCATGCACAAATATTCTGAAACCATTAGATATACTTTAGAAAATTTCGAAATGATCGGTTAAAAAATAACCAAAGTTATATGCAACTGCGCAATTGAATAGAGCAGCATCTTTAAGCATTTCTCTATACATGTACAAACACACATTTATGTGGGTCTGCTTCGCATTTAAACAGCATGGTTATTGAGACTTTTTTCTGTAATGCTATTTAAGTTCCTTTTTTATCATAAGTGCTTAATTCAACATTTTGACCCAAATCGACAAAATGGCATCACGGTTTTGTTTTTAAATCGAGGTCGGTGCGAAAATCGAAAGTTTTTCGATGATTTTTTTTTAATAGCTCCGCGCGGAGATATGACGTTCCAAAACGACATAACTCCGCGAGGAGATATGACGTTCCAAAACGACATAACTCCATGCGGACATAAACGACATAACTCCGCGAGAAGATATGACGTTCCAAAACGACATAGCTCCACGCGGACAAAAACGACATAACTCCGCGCGGAGATATGACGTTCCAAAACGACATAACT